ACACTGAGGGTTGCAATCCATTGCCGGACTCGGAAAAAGACAAAAAAAAAAAAAAAAATTTACATATTTCATTTTATAGCCACTGCAGTTATTTGAAATAGCCCTCTAAAGTCTTCCAAAAGCATGCAAATATCAAATTAATTTCAACAGAGGAAGATGAATAAACTTTTCAAAGACAAATTAATTTCTAAACAAATCAAGTCCAGTTAATAAAAAGAAATCAAGAACAGTAATTAAATATCTAAGTTTAGCAACATAAATTGCCTGAAAAATCAGTAAACCAGAATATAAACATAAGGGCACTTCAAAAAGTTTGTGGACAAATAGAATTGAAAGATAACAGAAATCTTTTCATGAATTTTTTTTCTTTTGTTTAAATTTTTTTTCTTTCTTTTTTTTTTTTTAGAGACTAAGATCATAGAAAATATGTTCTCTGACCACAATAACAGAAGGAAATTTAGAAAATTCACAAGTGTGTGGAAATTAAACAACACTCTCTTGAATAAACAATGGGTAAAAAGAAAAATCATAGGGATATTAGTACTTTGATATAAAAATCAAAGTGCAACATATCAAAATTTATAGGATGCAGGGCTCATGCAGTGATTAGAAGAAAATTTTTACTTGTAAACACTTATATTAGAAACAGAAAAATCGGGCCAACCCTGTGGCGCACTCGGGAGAGTGCGGCGCTGGGAGCGCAGTAGCGCTCCCGCTGCGGGTTCAGATCCTATATAGGGATGGCCGGTGCGCTTACTGGCTGAGCGCGGTGGTGCGGCTGGTCACAAAAAAAAGACAAAAAAAAAAAAACAGAAACAGAAAAATCTCAAATCAGTGATGTAAATTTTTATCTTAAGGAAATAGAAAAGAGCAAACTAAACTAAAATCAAATATAAGTAAGAAATAAAGATGACAACAGAAATATATGAAATAGGGAATTAAAAAATAATTGAGAAAATGAACAAAACCAAAAGTTGATTCTGTAAAAAGATCAGCAAAAGTTGCAAACCTTTATCTAGACTAACCAAGAAAAAAAAAAGAGAAGACCAAAATTATTAAAATCAGACATAAAGCAGGGGCATCAATTACATTGTCATTATGGTTTTTTATGGTGATAAGATTTGGTTTTGTTCTCTTTCTCATTTGCATTTTTGTTCTACTTTTCTTGTATATTCATGATAGTGATTATCATTTTTTGGATTCCAGATGCAGGAATTTCTTGAGGACTTCTTGTAGAGCTGGTCATGTGGTGATGAACTCCTGCAGTTTTTATCTAGAAAATACATTATTTTTCCCTCGTTTTTGAAGGACAGCCTTGCTGGGTATAGTATTCTTGGCTGGCAGGTTTTTTTCTTTTAGTATTTTGAATACATCATCCCATTTTCTTCTGGCCTGTAGAGTGTCTGTTGGAAAGTCTGCTGTTAGTATGATAAGGGCTCCCTTATAGGTGACTTGATGCTTTCCTGTTGCTTCTTTTAAGATTCTCTCTTTATCTTTGAGATTTGCCAGTATGACTATAATGTGACTTGGAGAGGATCTTTTTGGGTTAAATCTGTTTGGGGATCTTTGAGTCTCCTGTATCTGAATGTCAGTGTCTGTCTCTGTATCTGGGAAGTTTTCCATTATTATTTTGTTGAGTAGGTTTTCCATGACTTTTCCTTTCTCCTCCCCTTCTAGAACACCCATGATTCAAATGTTTGTGTGCTTAAGGTTGTCTGCTATCTTTCTTAGGTTTTTCTTCATTTTTTAAAATTCTTTTTTCCTTTTTTTCTGTGTGTCTTATTTCAAGAAGACTGTCTTCAAGATCAGAAATTCTTTCATCTGCTTGTTCTAGCCTGCTACTTAAGCCGTCCGTTAATTGTTTTTTATTTCATTGAGTGAATCTTTTAGTTCCATGATTTCTGCTTTGTTCTTTTTTAAGGTATTCATCTCTTTGTAAATTTCCTCCTTCATCTCCTGGATTTTTTTTTCTTGTTTCATTATGTTGTCTGAGTGTTCTCTTATCTCATTGAATTTCCTTAAGGTTGTTGCTTGGAATTCCTTTTCAGTCATTTCAAGGGGTTGCTCTATAGGAACTGGTATTTGAGAATTACTGTATTCTTTTGGTGGTGTCATATTTTCTTTGGTTTTTGTATTTCTAGTATCTCTACATTGATGTCTGGTCATCTGGTAGAGCAGTTACTTCTTTTATTACTCCTGAATGGGCTTTGAGGAGAGAGGTGTCCTCTTCTTTTTCCAGTTTCCACTGGTTACTTCTTTGTATCAATGCAGTCAGGTGTCTGACAGGCCACCTGCACAGTGGCTGTGGCTGCTGCTGTGGCATTGAGCTGCTTTTTTGGCAGCTGTGGCTGTGGCCATGGCTCTGGTGTGCCACTCTCATGGAAGCGCTGTTTTTGGCGTGCTCTCTTGCCTGCTTTTGGCCAGAGGGTACTGTCCTTGGCTCTCTGCCTAGGACCCCAGGCATGCTCTCTTGCCTGCTTCCAGGCAGAGAGGACTGTGGCCCTCAGCTCCTGGCCTAGGATGCCAGGCATGCTTTGTTTCCTGCTTCTGGCTGAGGACATTTTTAAAACTTTTTTTGAACATCTGCAGAATAATTATAATGTTACAAAGAATTTGGCCTTTTAGAAGTTTATGTTTGTTTTCCAAATACACATAGCATTGATTTCACATGTCAGTTTTTTCTCATCAGACTTTAAATTTATTTTTCAGTGTCATGAAGTGAAACTCACAAATGTGCCTTGGTCAGTTTTCTTTCTCAATAACAGACATTCATGCCAATATGAGGATGTGGCAAATGAGCCATGAGGAACATAAGGTTATTATCCCATTGAGAAAACATAAAATTTCTGCTTCCCTCTTTTTCTTCCCCAAAAAACTGTCAGGTAACTGATTTCATAAAAACTACTGGAAAGTATTAGTATTTCCCATTCCTTTATAGAGTAGTGTTCTACTCATCAAAAATGCATATAGGGCTTGGCAATTTATCAATAATCGTTTTGTTTCTGTAAGACTCAGAATTCTAGAAACAGTTTTAATAATAGTAGTTTAGTTTTCTCCTTTTATAGCCTGCTTTAAAAAGAGAAAAAAATTTCATCTTATGTTAAAATGTAGTCAACATAGTTTTTAATTCTCCCATTTGTTTATTTGCATAAAGGAGAGGGTGTAATATGATGATTTCATTATCTTTTAGTCAAAAGAATATATCTGTAATAGCATAAGAACTGAGTCTTGTCTTACCCCTCTCCATTGTCAAAATAAAGTTCTTTGCTCTCTGCCTAACTGGGTTTACAGATAGTATTTCCAGACCTTGGTTATTATTTTCACTGGCTTCTTTCATTGAAAGGGATCGGGTTTCTGGCAGACAAGCCACTGCCTTTCCTAACCACTGGTTTCTTCTCTGTTCCACAGAGTAGTATATACTAAGCTTGAAATGAGGATAGACAGTCTCGAGTATGGGATGGAAAGAACAGCCGTTCATGAACAGGAAAGCCAACAATTTAGGCAAACGGAATAAATCTGTTAAATGAATTGAGTTTTCGTTTTGGCTTTTGTTTTTTGCCTTGGAAGCATTAACTTTTTAATGAAGAAATAACACATGGATTATGCTTTTTAACCACAATCCAGAGAAGATAAGGTTTGGCTGATATAATAGGTTTTTCTTTTTTCTTTTCTAAAAGACATTTAAATAAAGAGATATACAAGATGGCAGTTTATATTTTTCTTAGATATTTTCCAGAGTAATTAAAAGCTTAGAAATAGAAAATAATCCTTTATCGGGCCGGCCCGGTGGCGCACTGCTATAGTGTGCCGCTTGGGAAGCGCGGTGGCGCTCCCGCCGAGGGTTTGGATCCCACATACAGACCGGCCACTCACTGGCTGAGCGAGGGACAGGAGCAACACCGAGTGTTGCGATCCCGTGGCCGGTCCCGGTCCGGTACGGGCGCGACACTGAGGGTTGCGATCCGTTGCCGGTCACGAAAAAAGACAAAAAAAAGGAAAAAAAAAAAAAAAAAGAAAATAATCCTTTATAAACAAAGGTTTACTTACGTAAGTTTTTTTTCAATTGGAGATTAATGCTACAGTGTATTATGGCCTGTTGCTGGAAATTACAAGTAAGTACTGGTGTTAGAAGTACTATATGCTATTTTAGAAAAAAAAGACAAATGGTTTCAGTATATTTTTAGTTCTTTATAATTTTTGTTACTGTTTATAATCTAAATTTTCTGAAGTAGAAGTTACTCGAAATTAAGCTACTTGAAAAATTAGACAGCATTTTAAAAAAATCTTATCAGTGAATTAATAGAAACAAATTTGAGTTTACTGACATGAGACCTTGATTATATTGTGTGATTTTCTGAAGTAAAGTGAAACTTAGGATATTAGGCAGCCTTCTGTATTTGCATTGGCATTCTAAAGAGAGCATAACCTACTTTTTTTATTTATTAAGGGTTTTTATATAGTTGCAAATAGTTTGTGTTTTTTTGTTTGTTTGGCTACAGATACTTTTATGATGATGATAAGTTTTTAGTGTAACATAAAAAAAGTTAGCATGCAAAAGCTTGGCCATATTTTGGAGGGGGGGTAAATTCAGAGTCAGGAGATTATACTGGTGTAACAAACTAGCAGGCCCAAAGATGGCCATTAACATTCATGTTTCTCTGCCCTAGAACCTGAAATTCATCTGCTTCAGATTGACAGAATCAAATTTATTAATTTACTACACCACTGATTTCTTTTTTTTCCCCTCTAGAATTTGGAATCTGTTCTTATTGTAAGACATCTTCAAATCTGCATCTGTAAAAATGTTCCTTTCTTTACAATATGTCTGCTCTCACTTTATGAACAGGGTTATTTTTTAAATGGGCAAATATGCTCTATATAAGCACGTGAAGTTATATTCTTAATGAAATTCAATGCTAAGAACATCCTTAAAAATAAAGACTTCTCATATATTCTCATCATTTTAATAACAGTTTATGTGAAATGCTTTGTGTTCACAGGAAGAACAGGCAGCAAAATTGAAAGCTGAGAAGATTAGAGTTGCCCTAGAGAAAATTAAAGAGGCACAAGTGAAAAAGGTGATGTGTGGGCTTTTTCCGGATTTGGGATTGTTATCTGTTTTTCGGATTTATAAAGAATTGCCTTGTTTATATAATGTACACCCCTAAAATATGGAGAGGTAGAAGGATAGTTCTTCCTGATAATATATTTTTTACATGTAGTATTTTTTGTGGGTAAAATGCATTATAAAAGAAATAACTTTCTGGTTCTAAGTTTTCTTAAAAGAGTAAAACAAAATAGTCTTTACATTATAATCTTACCTGTTATTATATTTTTTAAAAATTATTTAAATTTATGTAGGTAGGTTATTTGATATCTAATCTTTAGCCTATCTTTCTTACATAATAAAGTTATTATTTATGTTTTAATTTATTTTTAAAGACATTAGTCAGAATATTATTAAATATTGGAAGAAATTCTTTTCTAGAATGCCATTTTTGGGTTTGCATTTAATTTTCCTTATTACCTGTTATAGTTGGTGATTAGAGTTCACATGTCTGACGACAGTTCTAAAACAATGATGGTGGATGAGAGGCAGACAGTGAGACAAGTGCTGGATAACCTGATGGACAAATCCCACTGCGGTTATAGTTTAGACTGGTCACTGGTGGAAACCATTTCTGAGTTACAAATGGGTTAGTAATATTATTGCTTTAGTTGCTTTTTAATTTCTATGTGATTCCAACAGTTTATAAGTTCATAAAAGCATTCTGAGACATCTTTACATTTTTTTTCTATAAAATTGCTTCTTATAAATTGGCTTTTTTACATTTTTTTTCCTCATGTATTTTGAGAGTTCTTTGACCATAAGATCATTTCCACTTAACTTCAGATTTTATAATGGCTAAAACAAAGTTTTTTGAAAAGGTAACAAAATATTTTTTTCCCTTAGATTGGTGCATTAACTAAACACTTACGTTTTTTTGCATTTGTACTGAAGTCTTTATACCAGCATTTGATTTTCAGGGGAAACATAAAGCACATCTGTCAACAAATTTCAAGGAATCAATACGTAGAACATGTTCTTTAACATATGTTCAATATATAGAACATGTTCTTTGATTCCTAATTTGTATGTTAGAAAATGTATCTGTGTTTAAAATTAATTAACACTATGGATCAAAGAAGAAATTATCTTGGAAATATTTTAAATGCCTAGAGCTAAATACTATGGGAAATATTTGGTAACAAAATGTACTAAATGCAACTAATGTGTTTTATTTTTAAGGGTGGGATGGGGAAAGGCTAAAGGCTGAAAATGATTACTGCAAGCCAGAAGATCTAGACTCTAGTCCTAATTCTTCCATTTATCAGCTGTGTGACCTCGTCACTTAACATCACTAGTGCATGACTCCTTATTTGAAAAATGAGGGAAGCCCAGATAATCTCTAACAACCAAAGGCTGAAGTGTTGGTCAAGATTCTTTCGTTCTGATGTGAACTGCCTTTAAGGTTTTGTGTCTTTTATGCAGTTTTGATGAATATTAACAAAATATCGATGTTTTATTTTGAGACAGAGAGAATCTTTGAAGACCATGAAAATTTGGTTGAAAATCTCCTTAATTGGACAAGAGATAGCCAAAACAAGCTTGTATTTATGGAACGTATTGAAAAATATGCACTTTTCAAAAACCCACAGGTAAGACTGGATAATTTATAAAGGTCAACATTTTTTAAGGTGTATCTTGTTCTATTACTGCCAAGTTGGTAGAGTTAAAAGAATAGCAACTACTGGTATGAACAGTGAAGCTGCAAAACCCCATAGGAGGGTTCACTACTATTACTGAGGTGTTAAAGTCAGCAAGGGCCCAGGTATCAGTCCTCAAAGAGGTTCCCAGTCCCACAGGGCCATATGGGGTGAGCCCTGTGGAAGCAGAAGTAGCCACAGGGAGTTACAAGGTTTCTCTGCTCTGTAACTCAGAACTGTGTTGAACTCGGCTCTTTATTGGTGAGTTTCTCATCTCATCAAAGAAAAGTTCAGCCATTTATCCAGTTGACACTTTTTTTTTTTTTTAATGCCAGTAACCTTGATTATAAATGGCTGTATGTTCTAATATATGTTACCTTGATTTATTTGGCATCTTTCTTTATTCCAAAATAATGTGTGAGTTAATACTTCCCAATACTCAGACATTTTGTAGAAATTTGTAGGTGAGGAAAAACAAGAACTCCACAATAAAAAGTAGTAATCAGGAAAAATAGCAGCAGTGTTCAAGGTATTGAGTAGTTTTCCTTCAGATGGCTTAATCATGACACATCTTTTCTGGATATTTTAGTGAATAATACATATTTGAGAGTACCAACAGATCTTTCAGTAGGCAATTGTGAAAAGTAATTATACTACTGAATCAGAATTCAGATTTTAGTCACGTCAGACAAATGAGATTATAGTCTCAGAATCTGGGATTTCTTCACTCCAGACTGGCAGAAAGGAACTTAGAGTCACTATTTCTCTAGAAGAAATCATATACACACCCATGCCAAGGGAATAATAGAATGAGTTTGTCCTTTAATTTTCATTTATTTGTTTTTCTAGAATTATCTTCTGGGGAAAAAGGAAACAGCTGAGATGGCAGATAGAAACAAAGAAGTGCTGTTGGAGGTATGACTCCCTCCCCTTTTTAGTCTGCACATTTAAAAATTAAAATATTAAGTACCTTTTTGAAGTCAAGTATGTCAATGTGCTATATTTATACTTAACTATTGTAGCCAGAGAAGCCTGTGTTCTTTGATAGCAGGAGGGAGAGAGTTCAACTGTTACCTGATGACAGGTTAGCCACTGAAGAACCTTTTAAAAACTATTATTTTGCCATTTGATATTCTAGTGGACTAAAAGGAGTAATGAGCTTTTAGGGGCTGCCGAGTGGGAGAAACAGCTAGTTGGTAAAGGTTGCAGTTGTGCTGTATTTAATCTGCATGCCCAGATTAAATTTGTCCAGAGAAATTTGAATACATGTTGAGCATCTCAAGTTCAAAAATCTAAAATCTGAAATGCTCCAGAATCCAAAACTGTTTGAGCTCTTGAACACCAACATGATGCTCACAAGAGATGGTCATTGGAGCATTTTGGATTTTGGATATTCTGATTTTGGATGCTCAGCCTGTATTCAAATAAAGTATAATACAGATATTCCAAAATCTGAGAAAATCTGAAGAAGTCCAAAATCTGAAACACTTCTTGTCCCAAGCATTTTGGATAAGGGGTACTCAGCCTGTATAATTAGCTGTTTGCAAAATATTTCAAGCCTTAACCTTAAATAACTGAAGTAATTGTTTAAACTATAATGATTGTTTTTTGGAAAAACTCCTTATTTTGAAGAGTAATAAATTTAAGTATAATTGTATTTTTGGCTTTTGGGCTTTGCCAGTTTTAGAGAAATAAAATCAGAGAAGTTAGTGTGGTTAAAAACCTGAATAAGGGCCAGCCTGGTGGCGCACTGCTACAGTGCACCGCTTGGGAAGCGCGGCAGCGCTCCCGCCGAGGGTTCGGATCCCACATACAGACCGGTTCCCGCTCACTGGCTGAGCGAGGAGTGGGGGCAGCACCGAGGGTTGCGATCCATTGCTGGTCACGAAAAAAGACAAAAAGACAAAAAAAAAAAAAAAACCTGAATAAACTTACCAACAAGACAGTTAGAAAAATGAAGATTAGCACTGAGCTTTCCATAGTGATACCAGCTACAATTAAGAAAAAATCCTGTATATAATTCCTAATTTTTCTGTACTTTGGGGAGAAAGAAATTAATTTAGGCTCAGAATGTCTTAAACTAGTGTTTAGTGAGGATTTCTTTTTTCTTTTACAAATACATGTTTGATTTTACTATTAGATTTGTATCTACCTGCAGACAGTAGAATTCAGAATTTTGAGTTTATTTATATTCCTTTCAAGCTATTGTTAAATATTTATATAGTAAGTACCCTCTTTGTTTTAGGATTATATAAATTGATAACAGTTTTTAAGTGTTTAAAGTTTAACGATTCACTTAGCATGTTGCTTTTTTTGATTTTTTGTGGGGTGTTTTGGCTGCTGGCTGGTATGGGGATCTGAACCCTTGACCTTGGTGTTATAACATGTGTTGTTTTTGAAAACATATATTTCTGTTTAGTTTGACAGCTAATCTAAATGTGTTGTTAATTTGGAGAAAAATAGTCTAATGCTTATGTTAGCACTGACACTTTTATTAAATTTAGTATGACTATGTTGTTTACAAATGCACTGTTATATGCAACTCAGTTGATGTTTCAAGTTAGTTTTTCTTCAAAATAACATTAGGTGAAACATTGTAGGTAAAAATGCATTATTATATTTATGATTGGCATTTTTACTTAATAAACACTTAAGGATTGCCATACTAGTTCCAAAATAAATTCATATTGCGTTTGGAATAGAAAGTTCTAATTGAAGTCCGATTGGCAACATAGTTTAAATAAACCATTTTGGTTTAATTACAGTGTCATGCATTTCCCAGGGGTAAACACAACTTTGTTCTGAGAATTCAAGGATCATGAGTCTTTTCAAATCATATTGTTATTTTAGGAATGTTTTTGTGGAAGTTCTGTGACTGTACCAGAAATTGAAGGAGTCCTTTGGTTGAAAGATGACGGCAAGAAGTCCTGGAAAAAACGTTATTTTCTCTTGCGAGCATCTGGTATCTACTATGTCCCTAAAGGAAAAGCTAAGGTGCGTCCCTTGTGTTGGCTTTTGAACTTCCTCATTATGCTAATTGCTTTTCATTTGCAGTGAGTATGCTGGCAGTGATTTGTTTCAATTTGCATAGGCCACACAGAATATTGCTTTGTTTGCTAATCTATTTTACGGAAGAGGAAACCCCAAAATTTTCACTTCTCTGGTCATTAGTTGGGCCCATCTTGATTCTCTTAGCAAATTTAAAATCATAGTTTTATGTATTATTTTTCAGACTTTCGCAGGAGTAGACTTTTTTATTTTTGTTTGAGGTAAATAGTCTTCTGGGATTATAGGCATTTCAATTTTGGGTGGGTATTATGCTTCCGCTGAGGGTTCGCTCTGTGTAGCTATCGCTTCCATGCTTATTAGGAGCCAGGACTATTTTAAGCCCTTTACAGTATCATCTCATCTAGTCTTTACAACATCCTATGAACATATATTATTGCCCCTATTTCACTGATGAGGAAATCCCCATATCACTGTACTTGAGGTATGCATTATAAATACTGAACTACTTGATATTTTCTTATTGTTTCCAGAGAGCTCTATTACAGTATGTTGTACTTAATATACTATACCATATTTAAAGTATCTTTAAAATGCCAACCTTCCCAAACAAGTTCATTATGAATGGCAAGTCAGTCAGTGAAATGCACAGCCTTTTTTTGTTACATTATGGATCAAATAAGAAACATTTATAGAAAATTTCATTGTCTTGTCTTCTGCGAAATAGCAGTAATTTCTACCTTAGTATTAGTAAAGTTTTGATTCTTAACTAGAAACTGTTACCAGGTATGATATTTCCATATTTGCATATCATTGTTAATTTGGTGTTTTGGGTGTTTTTTCTTAGGTCTCTCGAGATCTGGTGTGCTTTCTCCAGCTGGATCATGTCAATGTTTATTATGGCCAGGACTATCGGAACAAATACAAAGCACCTACAGATTATTGTCTGGTGCTAAAGGTAAACATGTATCTCTTTTTAAGCATTTTAATTGATGTTAGACATAACAGTGGGTTATTGGATATTTTAGAATAGTTTGGATCTCCATCAGGTGTGCACTTTTTGCTTTGTTCTACAGATTTAAAAGGAATGGTGAAGGATGGTAAGAAAAAGAAGCATGTGATATACCACAGCCAACCCTGAGCCAATTAGTCCTAGTTAGATTAATGCTAATAAGGAGTGGATACTGGATTGTAAGTTTTTAGTCATAATATATAAGATATATTTGATAAATTTGACTCTCATTTAATAGCAGGCTTATTTTAGGGAAACTTAGAGCTGAACGTGGGATATAAATATTTTGTATTTTGGTTTTTTCCTGTACTTACTCAGCAGAACCATCAGAGGGCACTGTGCCCAAGTTCAGACTGCACTGGCTCTCATCTGGTCCAGAAATAATTTTTGTCGCTTCTTCCATGCTTGTATTATGACCTGTCTGACCTGTTTTTAGGGAAGTTTTTTCCTCCTTTATCCAGGCTTTTGAGCTTCTCACACTGATTATATCTTTACTTTAAAGAAGAACTGACACTTTTAGCAAATTTTTAGTGATCCTCTAGAACATTGATAAAGACAACTTAAAAAAATTCAGGGAAATTATGGAGATAAAAAAGTTTTACTCATTGGCTTCATCTCAGTAACCACTTGGTAAATACTTAGGTCTACATGTTTATATCATTGTTTTTAATTTTACTTTTCTTTGAGAATTGTTAGTTGGGTTTGGGGAGCAGCATTTGTTTAGGATTTGGGGGTGGAGTTTTGATTGCTTTGATAAAATTAGGTGTATTGTAATGGCAACTGTTTATTAAATAATCCTTTCTTAGAGAATACCACTATATCATTTAGGTTACTTTCAGGAGCAAATAATTTTTAAAGTCAGTACTGTTCAAAGTAGCTTAATCCAGCAGTTTTCAAAATGAGGTTTAAGCTCACCTAGAAGTCCCTAAGACCAGATGTCAAAATTATTTTTCTTGTAATATCAAGATGTTGTTCGACTTTTGCATTCTCATTCTCTTGCAAATGTATAATGGAGTTTTCTAAGAATTTACATAACATGTGATGCCGTTTTCTCTCTTGGCTAGTATAATGTGTATTTGTGCACTCTTGTGTTTTAATTTTTCTCAGTTTTAATTTCTAATAAGGTAAATATTGTAGGGGCAGAAAAACTCCACCCCCATCAGGGTCCCAGCTGGGCCTGAGAGTTAAATTAACATAAGATAGATCAACAGGAGAAAAGCATAATAGAGGTTTTACATGGCACAAGAGCCCTCATAAAAGAAGGCCCAGAGAAGTAAGAGTCAGTTACTTATATACTGGATTGGACAAAGAGTAGAAAAGAGTTATTTTAACAATGTCTGTACAGAATTCTCTGTTTTGACTTGTCTTTGAGGATAAGGATGTATCATCCTAGTATATGGAGGATGCCTTTCACATGGGAATTTCATCTTTTGCTTTTAAGAAACATCATGAAGGTCAAAGTGATCTATTTCTACCTGCTGTTTTTCAAGTGTCTTTAATTTAAATAGTCATTATGCCAGGGCAGTATATTCTTAACTCCTTCAATAACAATAGACATTAGCCCCATAAGTGAAAGTTATTGGTGGTCTTATAACATGAAGACAGTAAGAGTTGGTTATTTCAGTGGCTAAACGTTGTCAGTGAGAATCCAAATTCTTTTCATCTTTCTATGTTCCATCTTCTGCGTATCATCTTATTCCAAGGCTGGCTTGCCTCACAGTCACAAGATGACCACTGCAGTTTTAGTCATCACATGTAGACCCAGCAGAATCCAGAAGAAGAGGAACTATTTCTCCATGTATTTGTCTTTTTTCCCAGAAAGCTACCCAGCAGCCCTCCCCTTAAGGGTTACTGGCCCCAACTACATTTCCCACTCCTAAATCAGTCACTGACAAAGGGAACAAAGCCACTGTGATTAGCTTAGACTGGTCAGATTTCACAACTTGTGGGACACAGGCAGGGGGGGACAGCTCTGCCAGAAAAGAAGTGAGTGGGAGGAGATAGCTGTGAAGGCAGCCAGCAGTGTCTGCTACGGCCAGTCTTAACTATGATCACTAACTATTATTTTAATCCCTTTTGCAACACACAGAATTCTGAAGTTAAGAATATTTTTGTGCCAAGGCTTTTTTTCTTTTTGTTTTTATGATAATAATTTATATGTTCTATATTTGCTTTTAGTGAAGTAGTTGAAAGCTAAACCCATATATTTATATTACATATCTCTTTATATCTAGATATATTTGATATTTTGAAATGGAAAACCATGATACCATTAGGTACAAATAACAGTGAAAATAATGGCCCTCACTTATTGGATAACTCCAAGGTGACAGGCCTGCACTAGAAGTGCTTGTACACATCCATCTCAAGTCTATTCTAGAGTTCCCATTTTCCAGAAGTGGAAACTGAGGTTTAGAGGGATCAATTTGCCCATGCGCATGCAACTATCAGGATTTAAAGACATGTCTTTTTTCCTGTAAAGTCTGTACTAGATTTTGCCTATGTAAATATTTTTATTCTTGAGCATATGAGTTCTAACAAATGAAACTAAAAAATGCTGCAGCACAGGATCTATACACACGCAAAGCGAAATATTTGTATGGCCTGATCCCCTTTGCCAGCTTTGGACTATATTGACTGAGTCCTTCCAGTGAAATGCAGGATATGGGAAAGGTATATACACTTGTAGAAAGCAGTAAAATACATTGTTTGCTGATTAGTTTTTTAAAGAGTAATAATAGAAGTAGTAATAGTAGGAAAAGCTTAATCATGAAATTTAACAATATAGGAACAAATAGGACATGTGTTTTTTTTTTTTGTTTTTTTTTTTTTTTGTTTTTCCTTTTTGTCTTTTTTTTTTACTGACCGGTAACGGGATCGCAACCCTCGGTGTTGTGCCCGCACCTCGCTCAGCCAGTGAGCAGGAACCGGTCTCCACATGGGATCCGAACCCTCAGCGGGAGCGCCGCCATGCTCCCAAGCGGTGCACTCTCCAGTGCACCACCGGGCCAGCCCGACATGTGTTGATAAATCATCTGAAAGAGATACACATTTGTTGGGACAGGTGCATATAAACCTATTTTTAAAAAATTATGTACTCCAATAATTGTTGGAGTAGAAAAAAAAACAGTTGTTGGAGTAGGGCTCACCTTAGCCAGATCTAAAATTTCATTCCTAAGGAAATGAGGCAAAGTAGTTTATTTAGTACATTAGGTAGGAAGGGAAGAGTGGTTTGTGTTTAGAGGTGAAATGTGAGCATGAACTTCTCAAGTACTGTTACTAACAGAAATATGTTATATATAATAATCATGGAAGTAATGGGGTAGAATGTTATTAGTCTTATTTCTTCTTGCATGCCAATTGACAGAATTAATGTTCAAGCCTATATGTATTTCCAGATACATAATGTCATTTTCCTTTGGCACTTGGACTGTGATTTTAGAACATCACTTTCAATTAACAGAATTATAAGAATTATCTGCCTAAAGCTAATTTTTGGCATAAGCAGAGAAAAATAATCTGATAGCACAGTAGTAATCCAGAATTTCTTATTGTTAAATGCTTTTATTTAATTCTCAATATTTTTAACTTTTATTAGAAAATGCACACTTTCGGGCCGACCCGGTGGCGCACTGGAGAGTGCGCCGCTTGGGAACGCGGTGGCGCTCCCGCCAAGGGTTCGGATCCCATGTGGAGACCTGTTCCCGCTCACTGGCTGAGCGTGGTGTGGGCGCAACACCAAGGGTTGCGATCCCGTTGCCGGTCCCCGGTATGGGCGCGACACCGAGGGTTGCGATCCTGTTACCGGTCAGTAAAAAAGATAAAAAGGGGAGAAAAGAAAAGAAAATGCACACTTTCCAAATCAGCATCATTTAAAAAATGAACTGATGACCTTCCTTTCTTAATAGCTGTTCATCTGTTTTGGGAGCAATTTCCTTATACAAAGCGTCTTCAAAAAGTTCATAGAAAATGCATGTTATGAAAAAATTGCATGGATTACAATTTTTTGTGCACCAAATAAACTCCTCCTAACTTGCTGTAACATATCTGAACAGGATCTAGTTTGAGACACTAGAAAGATATCAGTTTGAAAAGAGCCCCTATCAGAATAATATGAATTCTGCTAAAATTGAAACAAGAATAAACATCAAAATTATGGTGAAGTTTGGGTGTAAGAATGGTGCAATCGTTGATGCTTTATAGAAAGTTCATGGGGACAGTGCTCCAAAAGAATCAGCAGCTTGCAAGTGGATAACTCATTTTAAGAAGGGACAAGAAAATATTTAAAATGAAGCCCACAGCAGCAGATCACTCATATCAACTTGCAAGGAAAAAATTAATCTTGTTTGTGCCCTAATTGAAGAGGACCGATGATTAACAGCAGAAACAATAGCCAGCACCCCTAAACATCTCAATCAGTTCAGCTTACACAGTTCTGACTGAGAAATTAAAGTTAAGCAAAATTTCTGCTCAATGGGTGCCAAAACTGTTGTGCCCGGATCAGCTACAGACAAGAGCAGAGCTTTCAATGGAAATTTTAAACAAGCAGGATCAAGATCCTGAAGTATTTCTTCAAAGAATTGCATAGGAGACAAAACATGGCTTTCCCAATATGATCCTGAAGACAAAGCACAATCAAAGTGCTGGAAATGGTCCAGTCAAAGCAGAAGCAGACCAGTCAAGACCAAAGGTCTTGGCAATAGTTTTTGGGGGGTGCTCAAGGCATTTTGCTTGTTGACTTTCTGGAGGGTCAAAGAACGATTACATCTGTTTATTAGAGTGTTTTGAGAAAGGTAACCAAAGCTTTAGCAGAAAAATGCCTGAGAAAGCTTCACCAGAGTCCTCCATCGTGACAATGCTCCTGCTCATGTCTTTCATCAAACAAGGGCAATTTTATGAGAGTTTCAATGGGGAATCATTAAGCATCCACCTTACAGTCCCGATTTGACTCCTTCTGACTTCTTTTTGTTTCCTAGTCTTAGAAAAATCTTTAAAGGGCACTCATTTTTCTTCAGTTAATAATGTAAAAGAGACTGCATTGGACATGGTTAAGTTCCCAGGACCCCTCAGTTATTTAGGGATAGACTAAATGCTTACAAAAGTGTCTGGAACTTGATGGACCTTATATTGAGAAATAAAATTTAGGTTTTTTATCTTTTAATTCAATTTTACCATGAACTTTTTGAAATCACTTTATATATTCTCCCTGGAGTCTTTAAGAATCTAAATGGTGAGCTTCTGGTTTTTAGCAATGAATGTGCCCTCCATACTTAACCCTTGCGTGATTTTAAAAGTGGTAGCATATTAGTTTGGGGAAAAGAGGAGAGGCAGAGGCAGCAAATTCAGAGGAGGAAGATTTTACCCTAATAAGGCAGTAGTATGCCATAATAGTTGAGACCATGGGCTGTGCATGGGTTCAAATCCCAGTTGTTTCACTTAAGGGGAGCAGCTTTGAATGCTGTCTTACTGTGCCTTGCTTTCTTCCTAGAACAAGGAGATGATAATATGTATCAGAGGGTTTTCGTTAGGATTGTGTGAGCTAATATATGTGAAATATTTCACAATGTCTGGTACGTAGTAAGTGCTCAATAAATACCACTTTTAATAAAACAACAATCTATTAGTGGAATGGGCAACCTCTTGAAGTATTGATGCGGAGCCTGGATGACCGTAAGAAAGCTATGAGTGCCTTTATTGTTTAGAAGGATGAAAAAGAATTTTTGAAGTCCTACAGCAAATTTTAAACTAGGAAGTAATCTGATTCGATGCTTGACTTACAAATACTTGAATAATTATATCATGACACACTTCAGGGTATTATCTGGATTCCCAGGTTAGAGAGATGAAAGGAGAAGGATAGAGGATAATTTCTCTTTGATTTTCCCTGATGTTGTATTGATTGAAAACACCCTCTTCCTGTAGAGAACAAATAGAAGCACACATGCACACTCAGGCAGGGCCACTGTTAGGTTGGACACCCATGCAGTCGAGAATAGTTTATAAATCACTATAGAAGGAGGGGGTGGTGATAAAGGCCAAGAGCCACACTGCCATAGCTTATTCAGATCTCTGAACCCTGCCCAGCAAGCAGTGCCTCTGTGAAACAGAACAGTAGTCTATTCAAGCCCTAGTTGGCATCACTGAAAAAACTCTTTTTCCATCATCCTATTTTATCTTCGGCACAATTTGTGGCTTCTTAAGGTCAGAGACCTTTTCTGTTTTGTTCATCACTGTATACCAAAACCTAGTTGAAGCATCTAGCAAATAGTTCTTACTCAATAAATATTTGTTCAATGAACAAATGAGGTAAAAAATCCCCCCTCCCCTTTTATAGAAAAATACATAATCCTCTACCCATCTTCCTTTGCTCTTTCAAGAGTAATATGGTGGTTTATTATAATGTGATTTAGTATGAACAAGGAACATATTCCAAGACAGGACCGGTATCGTCAGAAGAGAAAACTGTTAGGTATTGTTTTGTAACCTCTTATTGTTAAGGATTTATTGTTTAAAACTTTGACTATAGCCTTCACCAAGAAAGTTGGCTTTTGTATTAAATATTATGTATTTGGCATAAAGTATTAAATATTATAGGAGCTGAGCTCTGAATGGAATAGAAGGATTTATATTTTTTTCTCTTATTGTAGACCAGAATGATTGATATTTAACAATGCAGATATAAAACTTCTTTTGGTGATCATCTAGTCCTTTGAGAACATGTTTAGATTATTTATTTATTGATCTCATACATTTCCAAGAGAAATGAAGGTGGTTGGAGAATTTTGGAAAAACTAAATTCTTTTAAACCTTTATTTTTTCTTAAAATTGAACAGAAATATTTTTCCAGGCAAAACAAAGCCATTATTTTTTTTATTTTTCAGAATGACTGAAAGAGAATAGTAATCATAAGCCATTATATCCAGAACCAAGTGTGATTTAGGTCTTTTCTTCTCAAGGAACTAGTGGTTGAGGCCAGTGGAGTTAAAAATATCTTAAATCTGTTCCTTATAGATTACATTTTATAGCCAAGTCAAGTCAGTCACCTCCCATCCAAGCCTCAAGTGAAAAGGACAGTGGGTTGTGACAACTAAATATGACGATGCCGTTGAAAAGCTGATTGTTCCCTTGGGGGGGCCGGTGCAGTGGTCCTACAGTTTGGTAGACAGAGGGTCCGACAAAGCTGTGCTTATCTGTCTCCACCACAGCGACAGGTGTGACTGCAGACTCCTGTCCCAGGTGCTGTGTGCCATGTACTTTGTATACCCAGCCTGGTTATTCCCCTCCAGAGAAGCACTGTCAGCTTTACCAGCTTAACCTAAAATTTAAAACTTAAATTTAAATTTAAGTTTTTTTCTCATTTACTTTGTAAAAATACTTATGGGCCATTTTGTTTGGCCTTATATAAGAAATATAAATTTTTTAGACATTACTGTTATGGCCTATAACTTGTCAGGATATGTTTAAGCTTTGATTGAGTTTTTCTTTAGTTCTCCAAGGGACTTAGTTGGATTTTGCCTTTAATCTTGCAGCACCCGCAAATCCAGAAGAAATCTCAATACATCAAATACCTTTGTTGTGATGATGTAAGGACCCTGCATCAGTGGGTCAACGGGATCCGCATTGCCAAGGTTGGTCTCCTTTTGTTTGATGACAGGGTAGTGAGGTGTCCAGTGATAAAGTTTTGATTGTTGTTACAATTATTCTGATTGTTTCATGTTCATGATTTTGCCAGTGTTTCATTTTCTCAGGCTAAGTTTCATGTTTTAAATGTTGTCTTTTTCCCTTACTAATAGGGATAAATTTTGGACAGTTGGTATCCATTAAATAATACTGGTAAAAGCTTAGCATCAAAAAGTGATTTATTTTGGCTTTGGAGAACACTTTATAATGTGATTCTTATACAGCAGAGTTTAGCCTAAGCAAAACAAATTTTTTAAAAATTAGATTACTTTAGTAATGATCATACACCAATCATAATTGGACCAGTATCCTAAATAGTGCTGAGAAGCTGGCCCTGGATCAAGAATTTGAGATGAAAAAAATATTTATTTATATCTATAATGAACATAATCGGAATCAAGTGTTGCTCCTTCTAAAAATATGGAAAAAGAAGAGATTATAATTTAGTAGTATTAAAAGAATTTTTCGGGCCGGCCCGGTGGCGCACTGCTATAGTGCGCCGCTTGGGAAGCGCGGTGGCGCTCCCGCTGAGGGTTCGGATCCCACATACAGACCGGTTCCCGCACACTGGCTGAGCGAGGCGCGGGAGCAACACCGAGGGTTGCGATCCCGTTGCCGGTCCCGGTCCGGTATGGGGGCGACACTGAGGGTTGCGATCCGTTGCCGGACACAGAAAAAGACAAAAAAAAAAGAATTTTTCTTCAAGTATTATAGTTATTAATTTTAATACAGACAATGAATTAATAAACAAGAATGTGTCCCCCTTACCCTCCTCATCCTTTATATCATACCTAGTAAAGTTCGGATATCATTTACTTCTTCTGTTTAGTATGGGAAGCAGCTCTACATGAACTATCAAGAAGCCTTGAAGAGGACAGAGTCAGTTTATGACTGGACTTCCTTATCCAGCTCCAGCATTAAGTCAGGATCCAGTTCTTCCAGCATCCCAGGTAGTTCGGAATTCCTCAAAGCACTATTTTACTACCAGTATGAAGGTCTCTGTAGAGATTGATAGCAGACCTGGTCATTTCAGCTTGATTCTTAAAAACCAGAGCCATACCTAATTTCTAAATTATAATCAATGGATGCTTTTTTGTTTTTATTGTTAAAAGGGACAATATCATGGGCTACTTCACAAATGTACTTGAAATGGAATATCAGTATATAGACTTCTAAAGCCAAGAGTTTTGTTATTTATGATTATAAAGTTTATTCAAAACTCACACATACTGCTGAAAAACTACTAATGCATAATTTGGGATAAAAAGTTGATTGGAAAGAGTTTCCATACTCAGAATCCACGAGGAAGCTGCTCTCCTTCCCCATAGGTTTCCTGACATTTCAGTGGAATGGAAATAACTAGAACTCACACAGTATCACAGTTAAGGAAGCTAAATGTTTATATGAAATCTATGATACTCAAAATGTGCTTATTTTCAGATTCTCACATTCTTTAAACAAGTGTGCTGTGATCACATCTTAAGATAAATGCTTCTTTTCCTTAAAAATGTTCCATGAATCAGACAAGCCAAAGTGAGACACTCCACAAAATACCAGTACTCCTCAAAACTGTCAAATTCATCAAAAACAGGAAAGTTTGAGAAACTCATAGGAGACATGACTACCAACCGTAATGGTGTCCTGGATCAAACATGGATGTTAAGAAAAAACGAGTGAGATCTAGATAAAGTGTGAGTTTAGGTAATAGTAATGTACGGGTGCCAGCTCTTCAGTTGTGACAAATGTACCATAGTAATATAACGTGGTGGAGGCTGGGTAGGTAGGGATTTTGTGCTAAAACTGTTCTAATATTCAAATACATAATATGTAAATACTTAAAACTATTCCAAAGCAAAACGTTTATTAAAATGGAAAAGAAAAACCTCTGAGAAGATGGATTAGGAAAAACAGTGTAAGAGTATGTAGCAAGTAGGATTTCAGAAAAGGAAATTAAGGGATACAAGATTGAGAAAAGATGAATAATTTTAAAATTCTATGTAGCACTTCACAATTCAAGCACTTCCTCCACACATTATTTTATGAAGTGGTATAGTGCCTTTTCCTACTCCAGCATCATTTTTATACTTAAACAAACTCTTTAATGTAAATCATAAAGTCATATATGTTAATGCTGAAGAGAGCTCAAGGATTCATGTGTTCCTGCTTCCTGTCCTATAGGCTGTTGTCCTAGATTTTATAGGGATGATAATAAATGAGGCTAGTGAAGTTGTAACTTTTTAAAAAACTACTCAGCTATTGAGTGATCAAGAAAGAAGAAAATACAGTAGGTTTTCTCTCATACTGCTTATATTTTCACCCTAAGGATATTATCTTAAATTTATCCAAAGGAGTTTTGGTTTAGGATTTCTTTGTGGCCATTATCTTTGACTAGTTTTAACTTGGCTCAACTTGCTTAATATTGCAATCTAATAATATCCATCCATCACAGAGTGATTAGATAGGATCAGCTTTACCATTTGAGTCTGCACTAGATGCCAGGCATTGAGTTAGGTGCTACCACATGGTTATCTTACCTGAACCGACTCCAGCGAAATAATCTTGCCAGTTAGTTCAGTGCAGAGGCCAGAGATGCGCTGGATCCTCACAAACATTCCTGCTTCCTTGAAGACCTTTTCAGGCCTTGCCGGGGGGCAAGGCTTCAGTACAGCTGCTGCCCAACTGGGCCAATACCTAAATCCCTAGGAAACACGTCTCACTTGGGGGTCAAATTCTAAGTATTGTTCATTACCACAAAAAAGGAAGTAATCATTGTGTATAGATCTGAATTCATAAGTTATAACTTTGGGATGGCCTGGAGCAGGGGTACTGAAAAGACTGATTCTCGATGTAATGAAGACGTGATTGAAAAAAATTCACTGCTCTGTTGATGGTTGATTAATTCTTTTACTAGTTGGGAGTGCATTTCATGCAAGACAGGTTGTCAGGATACCAATAATGTCATATGAATCTTTTATTGTAATTATCAGTCTGTCATGGTGAACTATTTAAAAAGAATCCAAGATTTACTATTAACCCTAAGGGAAGTTTTCTAGTGGAAAATACTGGCTGTGTTTATAATGAAATGAGTTGTGAAGAATTAACTTATGGCTGTTCCACATAGCATCTGACCTTGTATTAATGACCTAAATGTACATATTCATTCTGTGAAAACACCAACTTACTTAACACTATATTTTAAAAACTATTTTAAACAGAGTCTCAGTCAAATCACTCTAATCAGTCTGATAGTGGAGTTTCTGACACCCAGTCAGCAGGACACATCCGTTCCCAGAGCATCGTGAGCTCCATCTTCTCCGAAGCCTGGAAACGAGGCACTCAGTTGGAAGAGTCCAGCAAGGTAAAACACTGGATTTAATTTACATAGAAAAATCTGTGGTATTCCATGGGTTTAACTTGATGCTCCTTTATTCCTTTATTAAGAATCTTATTTGGCCCTATTTCAGTCTTCTTTCTTTTATCTTCAGTCTTCCTGATTGTAATGGGTGAAACCATTTCAGAGAGACCCATTGATTTGACTTCACCTTGGAAAAGATTATTTACAAATTGGCTATAATGACCAAAGATCTCAGAGAAAAAAACCCTGGCAGTTTGTTTAACTCCTTTGTCAGTGGCCCAGAATGTTAAGAAATAATAATTTCCTCCTTTCTATTTTTAATCAGTTTGGAGCAACACCATTTAGTGCCAGTGTCCTAAACATGTTCCAGAGAAGCTGCTTACAGTTATTTCCTTATCTGTTATTAATTTATTTAGACTTGTTCCTTATCTTTTTTCTTTTGTGCTTTTTGGCATTTCTTTGGGCATTGATGAATTTTCTCAAATTATACTTTATGTGAAAGACTAAATTCAAATCAATCCCTTAAAGTTATGGATTCCTGAACCTTACACAATAGATTGTGTAGTGACACTGAAGGATGAGTATAATCATTACAAGACTATAATATTTAGAACAATAGAGAGGTTATTTAGCTCAGCTGGAAGACATCATAATCCTCTAGAAAACAGCCTGTGTAGTTCTGAAACCAAGGGTGTGTCCTGGCTGTAGTCACCATTTCAATATGCAGGAGCTCATTCCATCATTGAGGAACCAGCGACACCCCTGGCCTATTTTGTTTTTACCCAATAATCATTTTCACTTTTTTTTTGGTTCTTCTGGTCGGAATCACTTATTCAGGTACATTCATGAATGAAAATTAAATGGACATTTTTTTCTCAATGTATTCCCTAATTTACATATGTGGTTGATTAGTAGTAGCTGGAGCACTTTCCCTCAGAAATGAGTATTTGAGAATTGGTTCTAATGACCTAGATTCTCAAAACACTCACCAATTTGTTTAACTCCCTTATCAGTGACTCAGACTTTTAAAAAATAATTCTCTCCCTTCCCCCATTTAATCAATTTGGATGGAGCTCATCCTTTAAATATGTACTAGAGAAGCTGGTTTACATAATTCAGATGCCTAAAGAAAAATCTTTTACCTTACCAAATTATTAATAGTGAGATCTATGTGTATTTTAAGCAACAGAATTAACTAACGCTCTGTGATTAAGAAGCAAAATACATCATTACAGAGAGTTTCAGAGTGAACCCTGCCATGCAGTAGTGACTATTTGAGTCTTGATCACTCTGTGTGTTTCTTCTCCTGTTAACTTCAGTCTCAGGTGCCAAATGAGAAGGCCAGCACAGCTAAGGTCTGCACCTCTGAAGCAGCCAAGACAGGGTCAAGTTAAGGTCAGGGGCTGTTCTCTGGAAACACATTAACCTGGGTGACTCCTATAACCAAAGCTTACAGACTAATGCTTTTACCTCGATGTGTGATTTTTTTAAAAAAAAATATGTCAGCATCCTGATGGGTGTTAAAATTCAGCCCTATAATGACCCTCTAGTCCACTAACCTAAGCATTCTCAATGCTAATTAGATGTCATTCACAATTGAAAACAGATGGTTATCTTGGTTTCTCACAGTTTGAGAGCCTAAAATATGTACCCAATGTTTTTAAACCAGGGGTCTTTCCTTTCCTCTTTTCAAAAGTACTTGAACCACAGTCATGCGTGATTAGCTCCATGAAATAAATGACCAGATGTGGTCATTTCAGCAATGCCAAGAGGTACCCAGATGGGTTGGTCAACAGGTTGTTGACAAACTCTAGCTCCCATTTCTTGATTATTTCCTTTAACTCTAGCTTTCCAAAGTTTCCTTTTATTTTCTTCTGGCTTTTTCTATATGATATTTTTATGATACTTTGCTCTATGTTTACGAAGCATTTCTTTATGTATTTTCCAGTAAAACAAATATAAAGAATGCCCCCTTTACCTGCATTGCTGGACTTCTGTGCATGTTGGATGCAAGTGTCTCACACGAACACAAGTGTGTGTGTCAAGCTCATTCATTCCTGTGTGACTGTGCACGCCTGCTGAACATTCTCATACTTTCACATGTCAGCTTCCCAGCCTCAAAAGCCATCCTCAGTCCTGAGGAGGCCCTCCACCAGCTCTCCTAAGCCCAGTTACAGCATCTGCTTGATGTGGATGCAGTCACGGACTGGAGGGCGAACTCCAGCCTTCACAGCTCCCCTTGCCAGAGTCCAGGGGCCCAGTGCTCAGGGGCCTCCACAGAGGGCTCTCTTTTAGGGTGAGCTGTGCGAAAGTCATACACCAAGGTTAGAAATCATATACACCCGTCAACATCCAAAGGGCTCTTGCAACAAGAATTTTCTCCTAGATTGTTAGGTAGTCTAGCTATTTGAGAATACTGGTGGGTAAAACAAATTTTCTGTGTCTTGTTGCCCGGGGAACCAGACTTTAGCCTTCCTGACGTTGTCCATCTTTATGATCACCAACTGCTGCATCCTTTCCATGCATGCCGTGTCCCAGATTCCTTGCTTTTTAGTTTTACACAATCAAAGCTTACCTCCGTAACTGTTTTGTTTGTTGTGTTTTTCTCTCTCCCACCCCCCTTTTTATACTCCTTGTAGGCCAGAACGGACTCTCTGAATCGGCCCTACACTTCCCTTATGCCTCCTTTATCCCCACAACCTAAGATAGTCACCCCCTACTCTGCTTCACAGCCTTCTCCCCCTCTACCTCCCCCTCCCCCTCCGCCACCTCCTCCTCCACCTCCTCCTCCTCCACCTCCTCCCCCTCTCCCCAGCCAGTCTGCACCTTCTGCAGGCTCAGCAGCCACAATGTTCGTCAAGTATAGCACAATAACAAGGCTGCAGAATGCTTCTCAGCATTCAGGGCCCCTCTTTAAGCCACCACCCCCCCCAGTGATGCAGCCTCTGCCCTCAGCCTCCCCATCAGGAAAGCCTCAGATACTGGTGCCCCCCAGTGGAGTCGTTCCCCCACCCCCTCCCCCACCCCCAC